GCAGTTGTAGCTAACTATACTACTGCGGCAGGGCGCGATCACTGCTCCTAAAACAATCTTTGGTACTTATTGAATACAAATAAACCAGCATTGGCAGAATAAACACACCACCTTGGCTGCCGTCAGGCCAGGAGTGGTATGTCTCAAAAACGCGACGCTCGGCATCAAGGGGTTAATAGTTCTACAACCTCTCTGATGGCTTTATTTATCAAAGATTCCATGGGCAATTCACCGAAAATTATTTGGTGAAAATTGCCCCCTTAGTGGAAATTCACCCAGTGAAAATTACATTCCCTTACAGTTGGCATCATCTGTTCCTTAATAGGAAACAGGTCTTTACTGTAAGATTCTCCCTAAGATGTTTGTGAATGTTTACTTTCCTTCACATTCACCTGACATTCTCTGGTACCCCCAAAGCAAGGGAGCAGCAAGCTTGCAGCCCCATTTCTAGGCGGTACCAGTCTGCATGCCATTCAGCATTGGACGCTTTGAGATGTGTTTCTCCAGGAAATTAGGAGACTAGCTTAGAAGCATCAAGTGGTTGCTTCAAGATGGGATTTTTCGTACGAATGTTCGTGCAAAAATCTACCCATGTATACCCTACTAAGCTTTCTGCTATATCTCTGAAAGGAAATCTCACAGACAGAACACAGATAGACAAAATAAACCTAATATGGGTCTTAAAGTGACATTAAAGTCAAAGTCCCCCCCCCCTAACAATGCTAATGTAAGGACTTACCTTAAATGATGTTTCTTAATCCGATCATCTTCTTCTTTACTGTCCTTTTCAGCTGTTCCTCCAGCGCTGGTGCGGGTCTCCGATCCAGCGCTGACTCTCTCATGATTCTCTCATGTCCCACGGTGTCTGTGCGGGTGCAGGCTGCACCATAGACTTACCTTGAGGTTCTCCTCGTCTCCCGGCCGAACATCTGAACTGCGCATGCCCTAAGATCCTATGTGGCCACCCGAGACTCTTCAGATGTTCGGACGGGAGCGTGTCTGTTTGAAAATAGTTTTTAAACCTGTTTTGAACATAGTTTGTCTTCCAAATTTCTTTTAATGAGTTTATGTCTTTTGACATCAGTAAATACAGATTTGTTTTGCACTCACTGTAATGGTTAAAGTACCATTTTACCTTTAAAAGAAAAAAAACTCCTAACTGATCCTCCCTTGCACCCTAACCTAGGCCCCCACCGAGGTGTCTACTTACCTTTCTGTGGCCTCACCTATAATATTTACAGCCTCTATAGACATGAATATAGCCTGCAATAGAGATGCTAGGAGTACAGCAGCGGTTCTCAACCTGTGGGTCGGGACCCCTTCGGGGGTCGAATGACAATTTGCCAGGGGTCGCCGGGAGTCTCCCGCTATTAGATAGCGGCTCCCGGCCGCCCGGGAGAGAAACACTTTCTCCTGGAAAGGTTTAATCTGCTCGATCGAGCAGAGTAAACCTTTCACTGCGATCGTTTTTTAATTTTTTTTATTTCTGACATCGGAGCCCCGGACGCCGTAAGTCAGAAAAAAATAAATAAATCAGCATTGGAATGCATAGCTACATTCCTATTGGCTATTTCACTTTGCAATAGCAAACTAGCTATTGCACCCGCCCACTGCTGCTGTCAATCAGCAGAGAGGGACCTGGAGTTCTCCATCAGGTCCCCATCTAGTGATTATCATCATTACCCTCGGCTTGTGTTATATGGTTTGCCATTTTAGCTGTTACAGCAGTGGTTCTCAATCTGTGGGTCGCTGTGTGATTTCTGCTGTGCTAGCTGAGAGTCCTCCTCAGCCCTCTCCTAGCACAGCAGTGTCAGTTCTCCCGCCACGCTGCCAGATTTCGCTGCAGCAGCCGCGTCAACCCTAAATTTTACCGTTGGGGGTCACCACAACTTGACAAATGTTACCAAGGGGTCCCGGCCCTAGAAAGGTTGAGAACCACTGGAGTACAGAGACATTCAAGTCTAAGATGGGGTGAGGTTTTAGGTTAGATTAGGGGGCTAAGGAAAATGGGCTTTTAAGATAAAGTTGTCCTTTAATAAAGTAAAAAAAACCCCATCTTTTAGTTCCATAAATAATCTTTGTAGTGTGTACTTGTCAGATAGCTGGAGATTTTGTACGGTTTGAGAAAGGTTCTCAACTTTCTGAGTGAGGGAGACAACATGTCTTGCGAGCTCCGTGGGGTTCATTTTGGGTTCGCTTATTATGTCAGCACCTAGGACGTTTTTGGAGGGGGAACCTCAACTGCGGAACTGGCAAGAATTAGTCACCCTCTATGGAGGTAAGTGGGCAATCAGTCGGGCACTCCTGGCGTCACTCAATCTAGGGCGGAGAGTTAGGAGTGGTTGACATCATGAGCCCCTATTCTCCAGATGGTAGTTAGCTACAGTTAGCGAGTAATGTTGGGGTATTTCCTTAATAATCCCCTGAGAACGGGAGTTTAAGGGTATAGGCAGCAAAGTGTTCTAAGAGTACGCTCGGCAGAGCCCAGTTGCCCAATCACGCTACAGTCCTTAGTATGAATAACGCAAGTGCTCGGTAACAGTTATATACAGATCCTGGAGCAGTAGATGTATCACTTAGCTAGAGTATATTTCTATGCACAACAAGAACATGCAGGATTGCATAACATGGCAGGGTACTTGCGGTTCCCAGGGGGGATAGCAGCTGTCGGTCACTGGCGTGTGGGGGGAGTCCGTCCAGAGGTGGTTTGTCCAGGAAAGGGTTGGTGAAGGAAGGAGACTTCAGGCTCTCTGCAGGATAGCAGCTGTCGGTCACTGGCGTGTGGGGGAGTCCGACCAGAAGTGGTTAGTACACGCAGGGTTCGATTTAGAAGGGAGACTTCAGGCTCTCTGTAGGGTTGCCGGCGTTCGGGGGTAGCAGGTGTGAGGTCCAAAATAAGCGAACACCTTACCATACCCCCGAACCGGCTTTAAAGGAATCGCGGAAGTGCGGCTGGGAGGAGCATCACGCCGGCCACAGTGCTTCCGCGTTCCACCGTGGAGCGCAACGGCGCCGCAGTATATGTCACTGTCTCTGCGCCGGCTGCGCTCCACGCCGGAACGCAGCCCGCGAATCATTACAGTACTGAAGGAAAGGATGTATAAAGCAGTAGGAGAGTGAATCATTCAAAGGGTGTGTTGTTATATGCATATGTTGGCAAAGTATTCTGTCATACACAATAAGAGTCTGTAACTTTAGTAGTACAGATGGCGTGTGTAAAATTCCCTCTCTGACCAAGCAGCTGATGTTTTTGGACAAGTATGTACCCATGTGCAGTCAAGTTCCTAAGGCATCTCTGTGTTCAGCTGCTTCGCAGTACTGTTTCTCATAGCTGCTAAACTTTTGCCCGTGCGACAGCATGCTGACATGCACAGAATTAAAAAATCAAGCGTACAGAGCAGAAGCATATGCTGTAGAAACTGACTTTTTAAAATATGCATATGGAATTTTTTTAAGCTTTAGAAATATGAAAAAATAAGCTTGTTCACATTGGAAATACTTTAAGCTAACTGGTATTTAATTGCGCTTGAGTTCCAATCCTTTTCCAGCATATTTGTAAAGGTAAAGGAAATCTGTCAGCAAGAAAACAGCACTTGGACTTGCACCAGTGCACTAATTAGATGAAGTCACATGTTTTTCTTGAGTCTCTCAGTGTCCAGATTAATGTCACAATGTAATACAAAATCTAGTCTGTACATAACCATGTTGAATATATACCCAGTCTACAGGATGAAGGCATTATATGGAGTTTTTGAACCCATGCAGCTCTACGTAATAAAGTCAAAGATGTACAACTGTAAATAAAAGTCATCAAAACTGTTGGTTTTAGGGCTCGTTCACATCATCTGGAAAAAATGGCCAGCGCAGCCCGAGTGAAGGCAATGCCGCGTTCCGGTGGTGTGTGCCTGCAAGTACGGCATGCAGTACTTTTTTTTTTAAGCACCCCATAGTGGGACGTGGTACAACGGTAACACATTGCCTGCGGTGAGTCCATAGAATTTAAATAAATAGCACTTGTGCCAGTTTAATAAAGTGCTACAAAAAAAAAAAAAGAAATAGTGCGGTTTGTTCAAGCGCATTGGCATTGTCCAGGCACACGCACACAAGCTCAACCTCAACCCCATTTACCCAAATCGCAGTGTTCTTTTCCCTGCAGGTGGTTGCTCTTTTTTGAATACAGCATTCTTTTTCCATTGTAGTTCTCAGTGGAATACAAGTGCTGTGATGTCACTGCACTTGTCCATTCGTTCTTCTTCCCATCCCTGTTACTGAATGTCAGTGCCCCGGTATGGACATGGACGGGAGGAAGAATCTACAAAAGCCAGAGCATTGCATCCGTGAACCACTGATCACTCGTTTGCTTTACTGGCTCCAATGCAAAAAATATTATAATGCACATTTTATTTATTTTATGAAGATGTGTGCATTTATATTTTTTCCCCCCAAAAAATGGACTTTACCTTTTACACTCTTCCTATTCAAAGTGGTTTACTGTCACCCTCAAGCTGTGTTTTGTGTTCCCTCTTTTGGCCATTTGGAGGTATTACAGGCTGTTGATGGATTTATAATACTGAGCAGCATGTATAGGTGTTAGCAGTACTCAAAGCAGCTGTGTGGTTGTGACTAAATGAATTATGCAAACACCAATGCAGGTTTCCTGGATATCAGGCTGAGAACAAGCCTTCCAGACAAGGGCAGCTTTTTTACTACGTTCATTTTACACAAAAAAAATTGATTTAAATGTATTTTTCCCAATATCTCTAATAGCTCTATTTGCTTCTGCAGAATTTGTTTTAATATAAATTTAGGTTACTAGAGCAATTACTTACATTGTGTTTGCATTTGCAATTCCTTACCCTATAATATGTGTTTGGCTGTTGTTCTTGTTTCTATTGATGGTAGTATTAGGAGACTGATTGCAATCGTATTTCTTTGTGCCATACAGTATATGTTCTCAATAAATATGTATATTTGATGTCACTCCCCTCTTCTCTTTACAGATTCTTCCTTGTGTTCAGCTGCCTGGTGCTGTCTGTATTTTCCACAATTCCCGAATATCATAACTTATCCAACAAAGGCCTATTTATACTGGTGAGAAGTCTATATTTCTCCTCCTTCTCTCTGTCTGTCTACCTTTTTGCTTTGTCGCCTTTAGTATAATTTAACTAAATCTACTACCCCCTCCTACATTTTAAATCCATACTCTCCTCCTTGTCGGGTTGAGTCTCAGCAGCTGGTTAGATTTTATACAATTTTGTCATACAGGGCCAGACTGTGTATAAACTGTTAAATGGTTGAGTATCCCTGCTATGCGTCTCTGACATTTCTTAAACAGTGGATAAAGCAAAGCAATATGTCATGTACAGTAGTTACAACCATGCTTAGGCCAATGGAGCTATTTTTCTATGATGTAGAATCACAACACTGTCACACCATGGGTAGAATCATGCTTTCTAAATATAAACACTACATTTGTACTCTTGTATTTTCTCTCCTTCTATGCCTCACTTAGTTCTAGTCGGCTGCTGTCATTAACATGAGATTAGTTTAATTGCATGCTTCAAAGTACATCTTTGTATAATGCAGAGTTTGATTACTTTTGTGAGTATTTTCAGGTAAACTAGCAAAGTTACCCGTTCCCTGCAATGATAACTCAGAATGGTGTTTTTCAATCAAGTTTTGTGTCAGAGGGGTAGATCTCATAGAGCTTTGGTTCTCAACTGGGGGTCATGACCCAAAAGTGGGTCACGACACTGCGTTCAGTGGGTCGCCATGTGCCTTCCACTTTTCTAGGTGAGAGGCTTCTCAGCCTCCCCCTAGCACAGCACTGTCAGTTCTCATGCCAAGCAGCCATTCATAAGCTGCTCGGCACCGAGTGTCAGCTCAAGGTGGGGTGGGATGGAGCTATGGCCATGAGGAAGCTCCATCCATACATGCATTGCTTACAGCTTCCTCGCATGTCCTGTAGAGGTGCCTGGACCGTAGTGACGTCACAATCTGGCTTCCGGCATCTTTACAGAGCACGCAAGGGGGATGTACATGCAATGCACACATGGATGGCTTTCCGTCACAGCACAGCAGCCCACATTGGACCCCAGGCTGAGGATCCACTCTAGTTCTCATAAGGTAGGGAGACTGAGTGGATCTTTTTTGGAGGGTATATGTCTGTGTGAGATTGTGTTTGTGGTTGTGTGTAACTTTCTGTGTTCACACTAGTATAGTGCGTTAATCGAACAGTCCTGTGCGATTAACGCACTGTTCCATGCAATCGCACCTACTAGGGTATGAGAGGTGCGTTGCGTTGTCAGTCATTTGAATGGCACCCCAAACGCACCTTCCGCCCCCAGTTCAATTGCCCGCACCGGAATGCACGGTACCGCAGTGTCGTGCATTCCAATGCAGTGCGACTTGGGTCGCAACTTAATGACCAACTTGTAACTTGGTACTTAGTGTGGGTACTTAGAGTACGAGTGTGTCTGATGTAGCCTGCTGAGGATTGGTGCAGCCTCCAACGTCCCCTGTTTCTTGCAGTTTTGTTATCGCTTCCCAGGCAGCTGCCATGGTTGGGAGGCAGAGGGAGAACAGGCTCTGAATGCCCTTTAAAAGGGTAAATTCTAATCTAATTGGTAGCCCTCAAAGTTTACACCTTGAGGTCGAAACTTTAGCCCAACTGATTTCAATATGGTAGGTGTATACACGGGGTGTCAACCCCCACCAAATAATTAGCTGATGCTTTTGCAGATTTCCTAGGCAATCAATGATGGATCAAGCCAGCTACATAGGTTCTCTTTACCAGACAATTACCAACAATTGGAGTGGAAAGGCCCGGTGACCTTTCCCTTGCAGTGGGGCTATTCCCCCTCCCCCCACTGCAAAGGTTAAAGTGACATTAAACCCTCAGATTTTTTAACATAAACCAATACTGTAATGTGCGCCTTACTGTAATCTATGGTAGTTTCCCTTCTTATTGCTACTCTTCCTTTTAAATCTGTATCTCTTCTCATGCTTGGGGAGAACTTCCCCTTGCAGCTGAGTGCCTCTTCCTGTAGTGCTGGCTCAGGTTGTGAACCTACACACAGACACCATGTATCCATTCCAGAGACAAGGCAGTCTGCTGCAAAACAGAAGTTCTGTCCAGCATGAGAAGAGATACAGATTTAAAGGGAAGAGCAGCAAAGAGAAGGGAAACAACCATGGATTATAGTAAGGCACACATTACAGTATTGTTTTATGTTAAAAAATCTGAGGGTTTAATGTCACTTTAAGTTCTAATTTTTCTCTAGGGGATGGAAAAGAGAAGATAAACTCACCTGATCGTCATTCCCACAGCAGACAACACTCACCTCTCTCCTCCTTTCTCCTGGCTATGTACTGTCCCCCTGTGTCCTCATGTTTAATGCAAGTCAATGGACCTGCATTAGACATGATGAATGACATACGTGGACCTTTGACTGCCAGGGCCAATGGGAGAAGAGGCTGCATGAACCGGTCTAGCAGCTCGGCATGATTAAGGATCAGGTGAGTATATCTGCTTTAGTCCATCCCCTAGAATAAAACCTGCACTTAACCCTTGCAGTGCAGGTGTAACCCCTGCAAGGTTAAGTTGTTTTTTTGTTTTTTGTTTTAATTCCAACGATTTCTTCTCAAATTTACCACATTCTAGAGATTGCTTGCTTGGTATCCTGTTTTTTGTCCTTTATTTGCTTGTTACTCCTTGTACATTGTTACACCTCATACAACATATACCTAAACCTCTTAAAAACCAGAACAGAACTAGACCGTAACACAGTTATTTTGTGTCAAGATTCTTATACTTTGCAACATTTTTGTAGTGCTTTCATATCAGCTGAAGCTCCCATATCGTGAAGGAATAAAGAAGTGTATTGTTATTTGTTATGATGTGTCACCTGCACTGGGCTAATTGAAGCTTGTGACATGTTTCTTTAATAAATAAGCAAAATAATTGAATGCTTTCGACTAGGTGCCTGTGATCTCCGTCTTTATAGAAACAACAAGGGGAGTAAGGAGTTACGCTATAAATAGATTATAATATGTGATCTATATCAGTCTCCAGGGTTTCCGTAAACTAATTCAAAAAAGAAAGTTCCCCAAACAAAGAAATCCCTATATTGGAGCTGATCAGGTAAACAGGTGACACAAAATGGTAATGATGTATAAAAAAAATACATCACGCCCCTCTGAGGAAGCCCCAGTGGTTTGGGGGGAAACACATAAGGGTCAGCGTGTGTTTCAGACTCCCCTTGGATACCCGCTTTACCTCACCCACGGTCGAGTGAAGGAAACAACTTTCTCATTGTCGATTGACAGGACAGGACGGAACGAAAACCCCTTAACTGCTGTTATCTCGTAACTGCAGTGAAATCTGTAGGAAACTGAACCGAGATTGAGAACAGCTTGTGGGCTGAGGTTGCTCCATCCTACCATCCACCTTTCAGCCCAGTGTGTCTTTATTCACTTCGCTGTGCGGCCGCACATGCTGGAAACAACCTCCGGATTATTTTCTGGATTAGAAGTGATCGACACCCGCTGATCAGTGTGAGCTCAATTGAGCAGGGAGTGACACGCTCATCGGAGCCTCCAGACAAACAAGGATAACTACTATCTGGAGTCACAATCCCACACTAAGATACACCTCACAGAATTTACTCCATCCACGTTTAAACAGGGGACCCTGCAAGGACTGTCCCTCATCGCAAACCACACAGGTTGTGAGTACGCTCTGATACATTGTATCCGTCTTTAAAACACATCAATGTGAATATATTAGTGACTATTTACCACTGAGGTGGTCTCTAGATTATCACTCGTAGTACTATAAGTGGAATTTCAAGGGGATGTCTTTTTACTTGTTTTTAGATGTCTTGTTATATTGGATCCTATGTGTATTTTTATTTAATTGTCATTAAATATATTTTTTTATACATCATTACCATCTTGTGTCACTTGTTTACCTGATCAGCTCCAATATAGGGATTTCTTTGTTTGGGGAACCTTCTTTTTTTATCTCCGTCTTTACGGAATAAAGAAGTGGACCACTAACAGTGCTTTGTTTTGGCAATATTGTCTTGTAAAAATGTCTTGTTATTTTATTGTCTATGTATTCCAAAGGCAAAAAGATGTAAGAAAATAAAAAAAGTTTCTTTATCATCCATTAAGGGGCACAGGACTTTAGTAATTCTTAGACAATTGGATTATACTGTCACCTACAGGAATTTGGAACCCAAAACAAAACAAAAAAAGTTAAGCCAGCCCCTGTATATCCCTACACAGTAGCGTAACAATCACCATAGCGACCCAGGCAGCCGCTATGGGGTCCGAGCACAGGGGGGCCCGGCCAGGACACCCCCGTGATGCCATGCGGGACGCCTGGGTCGCTATGGCTTTGAACGCGCCGCTGTTCAGATCACTGTCAGTGATCTGTGCAGCGCTGCGTTCTTCTCCACAGCCGCTGCTGATCAATGAGAGCCAGCAGCGGCGGTGCACGAGCAGCGGCTGGTGATGGAGCAGAAGGCGGGGCCGGAGGAGTGAGCGGGCCCGGCAACGGAGGAGGGAAGACGGAGGAAGAAGAGGCTGACAGGTAAGGGGTGTGACCAGCCCATCTGAGGGTGACCCTGCAGAGCCCACTATAGAGAGTCTATGGTGGGCTCTGCAGGGTCACTCTCAGGTGAGCTGTGTGGGATCACAAGTGGGCTCTTTAAAGGAGAGCTATGGGGTCAGTGTTTTTCCCCATAGTTCTCCTTAGGGTAACGGGAGGACACAAACTAGCGTCCTCCCGTTACCCTAAGCACAGTATACCACGAGCTACAGCTCGCAGTATACTGAGACGCCGCAGCCAGAGCGGATCCCGACCTGGACGTCGGGAACCGCCCAGCTGCGTGAGTGACAGCTGGCTCTGCCTATCTAGAGGAAGAGCCAGCTGTACCCGCCCCCTCCCCCGTCCGTTCTGCCAGTCAGCGCTGGCAGATCGGAGCGGGGAGAGGGGAATCCAGCCCCTCCCCCTGTCACGGCAGAGAGCTGTGACAGGATCGAGAGGTGAGCGAACCCGGTATGTGTTCGCTCACCTCCCGATC